CCATACGACGAAAAGTCGAAAAATAATGATAAAATCATTAAAACTGGTCGTTTCGAAACTTTTTTGTTTTGTTTTGTGAACCGGAAAGCTTACGTTTTATTACATAAAATAAGATTTAAAGTTTCTGATCTATCTGACTATCACTTTAAATTGATAATTGTGACACGTTACACAGTTATACGATGACCCACCAAAGCTGTTAAAAATTAAGAGTTTTTCTTCTACAACGTATTTATCMAAAGTTCTGTGCATTGAGAGATGTTCCATTCTCCATTATCCGAGATACTTTAAAATTGTAATATATTGTATCTATTATTGTAATTATAAACACAATACAATATGTCGGCAAAAATTGTACGGTATTACTCTTACTCCATTAAAAACATATATGTGAAATTAGAGTAAAGTTCTATATTTCGATATTATGTGCCTTGGATTTTTACTCCAACAACTAAAGCCGAGGCACATATTATTATCATAATATAGAACCTTACTCTAATTTCACATATATGTTTTTGATAGGATATCATTATTTTTTGTCTGGAAATTATAATTCTAGTTGATGGAACAAGTAATAAATGCAACTATATTTCTAATTTTTCACTCTAAGTAATGGTTATGTAATATGCATTATCAATAATAATTGTATATAATTTATTAGGTATTTAATTATTTATAAATTATCTTAACTTGAATTTGATTAAAAATAACTCGTTATTTATTAAGTTTATATCAATWAAAATAAGTTAAGTCAATGAAAATTAAATTTAAGAGTTAAGTTAAAAAGTTAAAATTAACTTAATTTTTAACTTAACCTTAACTTTTTAACTTGTTTATGCACAGGCTTGTATATTATATTATGTAATATTTAAAAGTTATAAGTAAAAAATAAAGTACCAATTTATTTTTATACCACATTTTTAAATGTTTGAGTTTTTTATTTTTGAATTGTAAGGTTAAACAATAAAGTAAGCATGTTTATACTAAAATTTAAATCAACCCAGACTCCAGAGTGAAATATAAAGTTTTAAATTATACAACCCTACAACAGTTTTTAAATTACATAATATATAATAATATAATATTAATATATGCATTGATATATTAGCTACTAAACAAGTGATTTTCATTTATTTTAAAATCCTTTCAATGAATTTTTTATTACCTATTAAATTAATTTATTAATTGGAGTTAAGTTAACAAATGTTGTTAACTAAAACACTCAATGAAGAAGTATGAAAACATATTACATATTAATAGTGTATCAGTACATATTATAAGATAAAATTTATTCTACAAAATGGTGTAGTGAGCGATAGGATACTATAATCTAATTAATTTTTCATGTTTTCAAGAGTAAAACATAAGTATGAGAAGGTCTAATCTAATATTATATCTATCTCACAACTTTGTGGATATATTATTTCGTCATTCCTTGTAAATTAAAAATAATTACAATTCGTTTACACAGTAATACATCAATATTAAAATTAAATTGTTCAACAACCATAATCTACCCCAAAATGTTTCATTATTATATAGGTAATACACATATTATCAAATGCTATAATCCTGAAACATTTATTATTCAATAAATTCATTATTTTAATTGACAGTGAAAAAGAATTAAAATAGTAATTATTAATAATAAATAGTTATAGAAAACAATATCTAATAATACTGACTCTTAGAACACTAAACAGAGTATGTTCTATTTAAAATAATTTAAATCATAATATACTTCCAGTAATTTTTAATAGCTAATTATTTAAGTGATTGATATAACACCATGGTGTTATATATTTGTATAAATTATTTATTCCAATCTAAAAAATCTACAATGATAATAATAATTTWAAAAAAAAAAAAACAATAAAAGATTAAACGTTATGTTAAAAAAATTATACATATATATATCGTCAAAAATTCTATCACTAATGTCAAAATTCATTAAAGATAAAAAAAACATATAAAAATTATATAGTAAAAGTTAGTAAAGTAAACACAAGATTAAAACAATAAACATAGATTTGAAAATAGCGTTGTGATAAATTAAATAATAAATAATTTAAGATTTATGGCCACATTATTTGATTGCACATTATAAAAAGTCTTATTTTCTCCATAAGCTTTTGAAAAACCCACGTTTGGATTGACTGGTCACACATTCTTCACTTATATCTCCTAAAATTGATTAAAATTGTAAATACTCTCTCAAATAATACAAATATAAATTATAATGATAGTTCAAATTTTACATCTAATAAATAATATCACTAATGATTGTATTTATGACATATTATAAATATAATTTAAATTAATAAGTGTTTTGATATTGTATTATATTATACATCCTGATAAGTGGTAATTAAAATTATTCTATACAGTATTAACATACACTATTATAAAGAATTATAGGCTGAAATAGATATTGATAAATCATTTAATATTTATTAAAACGTTAAGCTAATTTCTAATTAATTATTTCTAATTTTAAAAACCAATTGTATTCAAATGTTTAATTTTGAAATTCATATTTTTATTTATATATGCTTAGAAGCTTCTAAAATCTGTACATACTACATAATAACTATAAATTACCGTGTGGCCCAATGACTGAAGAAGAGAATACAGTTTTAGATTTATTACTTTTGTTAGTATTACCTGAAACAAAATAAAATATTATTGGGTATCTTAAATCTCATAACTATGTAATTAATATTATACACTATACATAGAACATAGAAGTGGTAGGTAAGTAATTGTTTTTTAGTATAAAAATAAAATAAAATATTATTTGAATGTTGGAAAGTGTTTGATAATGGTCAATTGATATTCAATTCAGTGACGTATCCAGGTTTTTATTTTGGTGGGAGTTATTAAAAAAATGTTATATATGAAATGAAACACTAGTTTAAATTAGTATGTTAGTTTAACAAAAACAATTAAGTGTAGATTATATTATTTTCCTTTTTAAATTCATTTTCCAGTATTCTTAATTAAATTCCACTAATCAACATCTTTGTATTTTAATTGTTTTACACAATTATAAAATTTTTTAAACTGTTTCATTTGAAATTCAAGTTGAACAACATTTTGTTTTAAAATTAAATAAACACATTTTTATGCATGTAAAATGTAATGTACTAATGTATAATATCCTATAATATCAATATGACAGTATAAATATAATTATTAAATTAAAAACCATTTTAAGTATATTTTATATTATTTTTATCACAATATTATAATCCTAATATTGTTTTATAATATTTTATTGATGAAAASAAAAACAGATTTAGATTTTTATTTTAAAGTCACTAACAAATTTAAAAAATAATATAGACGAATAGACATCTCGTTTGTTGGTACAGCATCGACTTCCGATAGCTTTTTTTTTTTTAACTGGCGCAAATTAATGAAAAATATTGAAATATTGTTTTGAAATGTTTGACTCATTTTATATTAATCGTTCAAATAGCACTACCGACTAGAGAGTACTAAGTAGAAAGTAAAACACTAAAGTATAATATTAAACTCATTATAAGTAATAAAGATAAGATGTGCTTGTTGGCCGTAGCAAAACATAGACAAAACAGGAAAATAAAATGTAGGTGTTTACAGTATCATTGCCATGCCATAGATTGAGCTTTTATTATATACACATTACTCTGGACTGTGTAATAGCACTTTATTCTTTTTTCAAACCATTAGTATTTTTTTTCAAAAACATTTTGGGGGTGGGGTGGGGTTAATTCCCAAACATGCAAACAATGAAAAAATGTATACATTATGATGTTTAAATTGAATAAAAAATATTTTATTTAAAACAAAATAAATTTCAATAATACCCTTTCTAATAAGTAGACTAGTGACACGTCGAAGTGCTTCTCTAGGAGACCTGTGGAAGAATTTTGGTGTAAGGTTAGGGGGTAATGTAACAGGTTTATGGCCTTCCCGAGAATCCCATTGTGAGTGGCCCACAGGGCTTTTGCTAGCCAATTTGTCAAGCTGTTCTACTGACACAGGACGAAATTGTCGTTGCCGTGGGTACCATCCCCTACCAGGTCCATTCAGGTGCAACAACTCTGCACCAGCCATTGCTTGACCTAAACCAATGCTAGAGCCATGACCAGCACCTCTCATGTTGATACTCCTACTATCTGTATTATACACAGAGAACAATAAGTTAATAATTAAAATATTTTGTTATACCCTTTTTTATTTTGAACTTACTTGACATTTGAGTCATTGTTTTAGTTCCAGTGGCAGAATACTGACGAGGAAAATCACATCTTCCTAATAGTGGAGTATCAGGCAATGAGCTCGAAATATCTGATAATTTTTCAATGGTAGTCGGATGAATACTGGTTTTAAGCATCAAAGGTTTTGGGTATCCATCAGAAACAGGTACTTCAGATGGATAAGTTCTTCTTTCAGACTGCACCTATAATTCCATAAAATCATTAATTAAGATTAAATAAATACCTATTAATTAGTTTAAAATTATAATACTATTAGGTAATACTTAATTAATTAATTTGTTATTTTGCTTTAGGGAAAAAATATATTTTTAATATTTTATAACTATTATTTGCGAGTCGAGTCGATAAATATTACGTATGTTTTTTATAGATTACTAGCAGAAGATATTTTTAAATTTGAAAGAAATGTTATTTTAGCCATATTGGTTTTATATTTTTTGATTTTTGCTTATAAATTACATATTATTATAAATGTGCATTTACTACATACAACATGTTACAATATTATTTGATGAATATACTAACATACTTTTTTTTATGCATCTACTTATGTAATTTTTGTAATTTTTGTAATTTTTGTAATAATTTAATTATTATAAGAAAAGATATTATAATGTGTAAAATTATTTTTTTTATAAAATTAATTAATTAATGACAAGTGAATCAAGTAAGATAAAAATAATTCATTTAACAGAAATTAATATTTAAAGTAGGTACTAACCTGACTTAAGCTTTAATACCATTATAATAATGAATATTATAAGTTCAATTATCAGAATCAAGAGGTGAAATTTGTGAATTTATAGTAAGTAAATAATATAAAATAATATTCAATTAATTTTTTAAGATAAAAAGTTTTGAATGTTTACATTGTACAGTGCACGCCACTAAATAATTAGTGTAATGTTTATATAAATAGTGAAAATATGTAAATATAACTAAATAAATACTACTTACAGATCGTGTTCCAATTTTTTGATGTTGCTGAAAGTTATGAGAAAATTCAGCGTCTATTGATCGAGATTTAATTATTGAAGTACTTGGTTCATTTTTATAAACATCAAATACGAAAGGTACAGGAGCAGAATTTTCTCTTTTTGTTTCAACGCCGTTCAATATAGGTAGCTCTGAAACTACACAAAATTCATCACGATAAATTAATCAAATCAGAAATAATAAGGTATTTTAATTGTTACCAATTTCTTCAATGGGCGATGGGGGCAATGGTCCGAATAAAAATGAATCAAAATCTCCATCAATATTATTAAGGCTTATTTGTTCATTCACAAATTCTTCTAAAATGTTAGCATTTGCATAATTTCCACAATCATCATTAGAATCAATGTTAAGCTCTTTGTCATACAAACTAAAATTTGTATAACCAATGTCAACACAGTCCTCTCCACTAGTCTTTTCTTCAAGCCCTTTATCGAATATGTTAATACTGGTATAATCAACTTTTAAATTGTCTTCTTCATTAGCATTAACTTCATTTCCATTCTCAACTACATTCATATTTGTATAGTCAATATTAACAAAATTTTCATTGTGTTTGACTTCACAAGCCTTGTTGTTAAAAGTTGAAATTTTGGTATAACTAACATTATTAAAACAATTCTCATTATTAGTTATTATATTATCTTTATTATAAACATTAATATTGATATAACCAATACTGGTACAGTCCTCTCCATTGGCATTAACTTCATTTGTCTTGTTAAATGTGTTAACTTCTGAATAACCATAACTTGCACAGTCCTCTTTTTCATTAGTTTTAATTTTGTATTCTGAGTTAACAACATTAATATTTGTATAACCAATGTCTGTACAGTCATTTTCCGCAATTTTTGTATTAGTTTGAAGTTCTTTATTAAATACATTACTATTTGTGTAACTAATGTCTGATAATTCTTTTTCTACAGTAGTGCCACGTTCATGTTTTTTATTAAAAACATTAATATTTGTATAATCAAGACTGTTACAGTCTTCTTCTATGTTACTCTTAATTTCATCTTCATTGTTGGTATTAATTTCAGGTTCTTTCTTAGAAACATTACTATTTTTATGACAATCATTTTGGTAGATTTCCTGTATCAAAACTTCATTATTCACTTGACAATTAACAAAAATATCTTCTGTTTGGCAGCTTGTGTCGACATAGATTTTTTGATTTTGATGTTTAAATAATTCGGTTGATACTTGCACAGACATGTCATGTTTAGCAACAACATTTTTGCAAAGTTTATTCATAAATAATTCGTGTTTAGTTCCACACATAGTTAAGTATGAACACGAATGATGGCTTTTTGTACTATCATAACTTAGAAGATTTGGTAATGAAGAAACTTTATAAAGCAGTGGTGGGTGTGGAGGTTGAAAGTCTGGCGGCATTTCATCAAGGCCATCCACTAGACCATCTTTAAGTAGAGTTTTTATGTCTTCAAAAGTTGAACTAAATCGATTTAGTTCACTATCTTCAGGTAAAGAATGATTTCTATTATTTACATATTTATTTACATAGACTGGCATATCCACACATTGTTTTGGAGAATATTGAACATCATTATTGCTTGAAACAACATAACTTTCTTCTTGAGAGAATTGATTGTGTTCGATTGCTATTGGATGACTATTTAATGGCACATTTTCACTGACTAGAGGCAATACAATTTTTAAGACATTATTCGGTTGGCCATCTAAACACAATTCGTTAATAGATTCCGACTGTAAATTATCTGTCTGAAGAACCGTCACACAACCATTGTGAGAAGAATTAATTGAGTCTACAGCATTAGTTTCATTTTCAGATCCCAAAGGTGAAATGTGTGATACAGTTTCAAGATCAACACATTCCATTACCTGTGCCAAAGGCCAACTTTTACGATCTTTTTGAAAATCTACTGACTTTGAATATGAAATATTTTCATTGTTTTCATTGTATGTCTTATTTTTTATTCTAGGCTAAAAAACAATTATTTAAAATGAAATATCATATTTTTAAATATCAAGTTTGTTTAAATAAATTAAATAAAACACAAATTACCAAAGTAGATGATACAGCAATCGTATTGGGCAACATAATAGAGTGAGATATTTCTTAGTTTCTGAGTTATCAACAATTTAATACCCTAGAAAATGAAACAACAAAGTATAACTAAATACAAATTTATTTAATAATAAAAATGATAAAACTAAARAAAAATTAAGTCTATCAATATATTATACTTATAATCAGTAAGACATAAAATAACAAAACAAAGAAATCATAACATTAATAACGAAGGCAACCAATTAAATATTTGTAAAAAATGATTAAAATTAAGGGAATTTGATACCGACCGGTTTAAAGAACTTAAAAATAGGCAATTTCTATATTAGGTGCGTGCAAGGCATGGTTATGTGTGAGTAGTAACTGATTATAAGTGTGAGTGACTCCTTTACCACCAGCTAGAAATAAACACTCGCGCACTTCCATGCACATTTCAAAGTGTACAACATAGCACGAGCAAAATAAAATCGACTAAAACATCCAATCTTCTGTCCATCAGTCTGATGGACCTAATAATGTGATAAGACTTTTAAAAACTGATTTGAATTTATTATTATATCTTCTTTAGATCAGGCGTGCCACTTTTTCTAATTTTAATTCAATGTAATCAATATTTATTAAATTTTTTAATTTTACTATATTTAAATCCAAATTTAAAAGATTAAAGGCTAAAATTTGAAAAAGTGGCAAAGCTGATCTCAAGAAGACATAACAACAAATTCAAATCAGTTCTTAAACGTCTTATCGCATTGTTAGGTTCATCGGACTGATAGACAAAAGATTAGAATGTTTTAGTCGAAAGAACAGTCGGTATCAAATCTTCTTAAGTTTAGTACTAAATAGTTTTATTGGATTCTATAAAAACTATTACATATATGTAAATCTAATTATTAAAATTCTTATTAGTGACATTTTGTTTAATAAATTGATTAAATTAATTACATTTTATAATTATAAATTATGTTTTTCTATTTTACAATATTTAAGTTTTACACAATTTGAATAACAGTGTTTCTACATGCTTTATGGCTACAAACAAAATTGCGAAATATTTCATTGTCATCAAGTTTTTAAATCTTCTTCTGCAAACCATACAAATATAACATTGTTATATATAAATATACATTACATGTATATATTATATATAATTAATTATAWGTATCTCCACTAAAATAATGAATATTAGAAATTTTTCTACAGTCGTTAATATACGTATTTAGATTTGTAATACAACATTTATTAGATACTATCTAAAATCATTTAATGACTATTTAAGTAGCTATAAATGTTAATAATGGCTGCATGCCCACATGCCTTTAATCTAGCACATAGTGTGCTAAATAACTATATTTGTATTTATTCTAGATACATTGGTATATTTTTAGGTTTGACTCACAGTAATGTTAAGAGGTTACAATTGCCCTATTTTAGTTTACAGATATGGAACAGAATTCCAACTTAAAGTGTTAATAGGTCGTAAATTTATAATTAGCATTTAAAAAGACCAAATATCTAACTAGGTATTATTTATTTTTTAAGCCTAAAATTAAAATGTCATATAAAAATGCAATTGGATATTTATCAGTTTACTATGGACATAAAATACATATATAATAATATTTATTAATATCAAAAACAATAATAATAACAGTAACAACATTTATTTATACAAATTAATATATAAAAAAATCTTATTAAGTTTTTGATTCCCTGCTTAAAAGCTAGGCTTGTGCTAAATAGAGAGAGAGAGTTCAATAAATTAAAATTAAGAACTGATAGATATAATAGTTAAATTAAGATACAAATCCAGTTATAAAAGAAAGAAAGAACAAAAAATATAAATAAACAAATAAAACCAATAAATAAAATAATTTATGTGGGGAGATTACCAATTTTATTGTTGTGAACACAATATTTTGCAGAAGACAATATTGCAATGAAAAAGTTATTAAATGAAAAATAATTTTAATGCATTTTAAACCTTTTAAACCCGTGTTTAAATCAATTAAATTTTTTTACATCTATTTCAATTTTTTTACATAATTCAATACCAATATTAACGGGGCAATGTTGGCCAAATGTTGTAGCATCTAATATAAGAATTATTTTTAGACCTAATATTAAAATAATGATTAAACTTTATAAATTCAAAATTATAGTAGTACATAATATAATACAAAATGTATTATGTAGATGGAATTAAGATTATCGATAGTAAAATCAGAATAAAGTAATCTAACCAGGTACAGCCTAGATTACCCTTAACAAGTTATTAATTGCAATATTAAGAGAATAAAGATGTGATTTATAAGCAACCCCCCCCCCAAACACAAATTCTGCGAGAAATTAGAGATTGGGTAAGTGCAAAATAAATTATTTTAATATTTTTCAAGTTTGAAATCTTTTTTAATATTTTGAATTATAAAATAACTATCTAATTAAGTTCAAGACATAGTATATATGATCATTCCATTTAAGGTTGTGATAAAAAATGATGCCTATATATATAATGGTTTATTTTGTAAACCCCCTTAATTACAGACTTTATCAGGTATATACATTTAGACACTGGCAAGTTTATAGTCCTATAATATTGTATAATAGTAAAGGTTCAATAATATATTATGCTCGTTATACTCATGAATAAATAGATAAGAACCTATGATCACTTTAGGTTAGGTTCTCGTAAAAACTTGTGCACCAAGCCTATTGTAGTTCTTGATATTTCATTGATCAAAATAATTCAAAAAATCAAAAATAATAATTTTAAATTAAATAAGTTTTTAATGTATAATCTAGTATTGATAATATGAATAGTTAATGAGAATTCGAGAACTGAGTAATAGACTATCAGAAAAAATGTGATCACAACTATATATTTAGTCATGGTAATACTAGCATACCTATCTATAGGCAAAGACCAGGTAAAATATTTAGGAGTGGCTAAATTATTAATGTTTTAATAAAAAATTAAATAAATAAATATTTTTTTATAGATACTGAATAATAATGAAAAATACCCTGGAAAATACTATGTAAGTAACTGATGAATACAGTTTGAATTTAAAAAAAAATGGGCAAGTAGGTAACTACCGGTAATGGCTCTGCTGTTCAGTAGGTATTGAGTGTATGTTTGTTCTTTGTCATTGAGAAAGCCAATGTAATGAAAGTGTTAAATTAAAATTCAACGATAAATCATTAAAAAAAAAAAAAAAAACATACACAAACAAAAATAAAATTGAGTTCTGAGTGAAGACAGTCTAAATTTTTGAAAACTAGAATTGCCAATATATAAATTTTAACGAATATATTATTCTTGATTATTTTAAAATGTACAGGGGATCTTTAATATTTTTTTACCAATATACGTATTTCTATTTAAAAAATACAAATTTATTACAAGACTGTAATAGGTAAATGGAAGTATTATGGAAGTCTCACTGTGCTTAAATTATGGTAAATTAGGTTTATACATAAACATATTTTCAAAACAATTCTAGTTAAGCTTCCAAGTGAATTTTTTGTTTTGAAATTATTATTAATGCATATTATGTCTGGTCCACATAGTGAAATCACTCATTACATGAAATGTACAATAACCATACTTCTATAGTGTACTTTGTGTAATTATTATGAAACAAAATTGTTATATTATTTTGCAATAAATAATTATATTATAATATTATACTATAATAATTTATTACTTAACTTTTTTATATTGTTCTATGAACAAAAATATTACCAAAATAATTGATTGACTTAAATAATAATCCCGATAATAATTAATGAAGTCTAGGTAGGTGAGTATACATTTTTCTTCTTTATTATTTATTTTACATGACAATTGATTATGCCATTGACTGTTACATATCATATTATTATTTATAAAACAAGCATACCTACTTAATTGGCAAAGAGTTTTTGCCTTACACAAACAAAACAAAAATCCTTTCTCTCCTGAAATATTTTTAATTATTTCTCACACCGAAAATTCAACATTTTTATCAACTTAAGAAATATTGAGTTGTTAATTTTTTCAAAAATTCACTACTGAACCATCCTTTAAGTGAACCATATTTTGTTCTAAGTTTATGCAATCCTTTTTTTTTGAATTATTATTTAAATCAATCAATTAATTATTTTGTTCATAGAACAATATAGAAAAGTATAGTATAGTCTCGAGTATAGTTTAGTTATACATTAAAATAAAGTGATATAATTGGGATAATATAATTATTTATTGCAAAATAACATAACAATCTTGTTTTATAATAATTACATAAAGTACACAATATAGGTAACCTAGGTATTGCCCATTTCACAAAATGGATGCCCATATAATATATTTTCGTCAAAATTCATAATCTGGATATCCAGTTCATGAAATGTGTGATTTTAGTATCTGGATTCGACACATGTACACCTGATCTGATCATCTGCTCAGATAATCAAAATCAAAAACCTACTTTAACTTGTTAGGTAAAACCTTCTTGAGTAGGTCTCAGAGTTCAAACAAAATAGTCAAAAGTACAAAAACTCCGGGCAAAGAATACCATACTATTATGTTTTGGTATGTCAATTGTTCAATTATTGTGTAATCATAATGCAAAACTAAATTCGATCAACAAATTCTAAATTGCCTTAATTTTTTTCATCAAAAACTTCATAGGAATAATAACAAAAAAACTGTACGATAGCTAAACTAGAATTAATGCACATTTTTCATAAATTATTTTGATTTTGATTATTGAAAGGTAAAACTTAAAATAATTTTTAAATACCTATCTAATAATTTAAAATTATATAAAAAAAAAATAACTAATAAATAAATAAGTACTTTATAAATTGTGTTTACATAGTAGATAGAGGTACCTTGTAGSACATTAATCATTATTAATATTAAAGAATTGATTTATAACAAGATGTATGTACATGTGTCTACATCAGTAGGAAATTTATACTGTATACGTACGAGTACTTATAATAGAGAATATTAAAAAAAAAAACAAGTTATTGAATGGTTATTATTTATAAGTCCGCGAGGTGTTTTCTAACTAGTTCCAAAATTAGAACATGTAAAACAATATATAATCCAAATATGGAGACAACTTGTAATTTCTAGCTACACAAATTTGTTTGTATAATATAGGTAGTTATACTTATCGCTTATAATTAAATTCACTTACATACAATAGAGGTGCTCTAATAGGAAAAAATATCTAAGTCCAGAGATGAGATTCAAATCATGCTGTTCCGTTAATTGTCTCCATTCTACAAAAAAAATAAATAAATAGAATAATAATAATAATAATAATAATAAAATGAGGTGGGTTATTTTGTTAGGAAAAGTTCATGAATAACACAAATGTTTTTTCTTGAACTTTTGATTTTAGAATGTAKAATTTAATTTTAATGTGGGCCACGTAATCGAGACCGCTGCTCTATAGGTATAGGAGCTTAATTGAAAGGTTTAGAGCACTGTACATTGATGCATGAATCGAGGAGTGGATAGTGAGACGACAGAAAGGCCATAATTGAGATGGGACTCGATGATGCGAGTTGGATGCCCTCGTCTTTGAGCCTTGGTTTGTCTTATGCATGAATAAAAGTACATAGTACCTAATAGAAAAACCAATCATCCAACTCACCTAACACGGCGGCGCTCCGCTTCTGTCTCGAACGTGTACGTTGATGAGTGGCACAACTACTGTGGGCCCACGGAACGCCGTCGAGTCACGAATATCGTACTAGTCGCGTACCATCGTCGGCATCATCGACACTGTTGTCGCCTTGTCGTCGTCGTCATTCCTCCGACCGTGCAAACGGAAAACGCAGACGGTCGGCCCCCCCGCGAACGTTGTTCACTCGTTTCGACGAATCGAAATATTTTCGGAGTGGTAAGAGAAAAAAACTAGACGGATTAAAAAAAAAAAAAAAAAAAAAAAAAAAAAAAAAAAACAAAAAAAAAATCAACAAAACAATATGGGGGACGAAACGCAAATTTCAAGAGTTGACACTGGCCGAAAATAATCAATAACTTCGCTTCTGTTATGATGTTGTGTACGTGCGCACGTATGCGCTTGTGTGTGTGTGTGTGTGTGATAATGTCAGTCCTTGACATTGATAACGCGATGTTTACCATTTACTGCCGCCACTGATGATGCCGAACGTCTCCGCCGCGTCGGAGATTGTGGGTCGGTCACGCGAGTGTGGATTCTGGTGGGGTGGTGACGATGAAGGGAGGAGTGAATGTTTTTAAGCTTTTTGCTTTTATAAGCCTTACTACGCGATTTACGCCACTGCGACGGTGCACGGACGACTGTCGAATATACTTTGATAATGATATCATACCGATACCATCGTGTCCATCACTAGACAGTCATTACTTAGTATTTAGTTTCTATTAATATAACTAACGACATATGACATTAGAGTACAAATTCTATATAAAACTCCTTAATTATCTGAGAGATTTATTGTGTTTTTATAAGACTTGTTTCTATTACTTCGAAAAAAAAAAAATACCGATAACCCACGTAGCGTTTATGAAGGAGTGGCTATCTGTTTTTTTTCGTTATCTACAATTTTTGCTGTTAAATGTTTTAATGTGTATCACAACTACCTGTAATGTTATTCATTATTATGCATCAGTAATTCGGCATATTATATTATTATGTGCCAAGATCTAAGAAACAATGAAATACCCATGTGCATACCAATATGCACTAAAAAAAAGCTCAAATATGCACCTATTATATTATACTAAATATGGTCATATCAGGTACACTTGGAAAAAGAATAATTATTCTGTGATGTGTATTAGTTTATTATTTCTTATATTTGTGTGTGTGTACACGACAAGTTGTCAAAATAATGCTTCGATTTTCAACTTCAGTACTTTTTCAGGATGGAAAGTAAATCTAGTTGGTGCATAATTGAGTTCAGATTTTAAAATCTTCAGTAGTTTTCAAAAGCACTGGAAATAACAAAAAAAAAAAAACAAAATTAAGGAAAAACGGGAATTTTTACGCATAATCAATTTTTGAGAAAACCTATTTTAGATATTTGTGTAACTTTAAAACAAATTAGGTTAGGTATCGTAGATACATGATATTTTCACAGAATGTTTAAATTAGAATTTTCTATATTTATTTTGATAAATTGATATTCGTTTAGTACGTGACCTACCTACCGATCGTGTGATCTACCGTATAGGATATTTATTTTGTATGCGTGACCTACCAGACCGATAATTAATTTAAAACAGTCAAATTAATTATATAATTAGGTTATTTTATTATTACAAATTACGGATTATATTCAATATCAGTCAACAAAATATCAATATAAAAAAGAGGGTAAGTCGTGTATGTCGCTCTGCTGTACAGTAGGTTACAAGTGGGTTACTGTAATGGATGGAATTAATTTTGAATCCAATGATATTATATCATTGTATACAAAAAACGATTCTGAGCGAAGACGGTTTATCTGT